ACACCGTTTGGGAATTCAAATCTGATTAAAGCAGCTGATCATTCACATTGCTTTTCGCATGCATAGTTGAACAGCACTAGTTCTTCATAGGCGGATCCAAGGGGGCCCAGCCGGCCCGGTCCCCTCTAAATTTGCCAAATTTTAAAAAGAAAATAAGAAAAAAGAAAATTGACTAAAATTTTAATTCTACTAGTGCCATTTCCGGCCATCTAGAGGTGCCATAATCATAAATTTTCTTACCGCTGCCCAATCATCGTGGGGCTGATGAAGTATAAACCCTCCACCTGTGAATGTCCCTCTCCAGGCCCCCACTATTTCAAATTCCTGGATCCGCCACTCGTTCTTGGTGTACCGCAAGTAAGATAGATCATTATCAATCACCCTCATTTGTTTATTACTTGCATATTCATATATGTATTATATGTTTACATAATATATATAAAGGGAGATAAATTCATGTACTGTCTACACAAATATAGATAAAGGATATCTAATTGGAGATAAACTGTCATCTATTATTGATGACTACTAACATGCTCAAAAAACCTAAAAGACTATAACTTTCAATCCAATTCAGTCATTGATGCAAATTCGGAAATGTCCCCCCCCCCACAAAAAGTGAATTATTGCTATGTACCAGCTGACTAAATTTACATTGTATAAATGGAGCAGATAGCTACAGATAGTTTCTAAAGGTAAATAGTAGGCCTACATCTACCTAGTATCACTGGAGCATCTTTGTAATTACTTTTTTCCCACCAAATGGAGAGTTTATGGGAAACAGCAGCATCGTTCATGTGAATTGCTGTGATAAAACTCAATTGTTTATTAGTTTGATTTTGGAGTGATCATTGGAGATCTTCCTTGGCAGCTGATGCTCTTAATCTTCAAACCAGGGACCTCCTCTTATGTATGTTGTTTGCTGATTTGCTCCATGGCTCTTCACGCTCTCAATTTGGTGGGGATTCTGCACCGAGTCTGTTGAGATTAACCAAAGTCTTTTTTCCAAGTTTACAACCTTTTGGTTACTGAAAAGGCAGTCAACAAACTGCTTAATGCACAAAGTTAATTGATTGGACCATCAGTCTACGATCCAAGTTGGATGGTTTGGGGTGCTGTAACTGAGCCTTTTTAGCATAATGATTAACTGAAATTATCTGTTTCTTGAAAGATGTAGGTGGAAGATTTAAAATACCATGATTTACTGTTTTTGTTTGCGAGCTTAATTGTACGGACATTTTATCTCAGGTTTGCAGGAACAGTACCAGTGTGGTTTTGTCATCGGCACCTAACAACTCTTATTTCATTTTTCAGAATAAGGTAAACTTTTTATGTGAATTAATTATGTGACTCCATGGAGCAGTGTATAACATGCACCAGAGTACTGCATGCTACAGGCACTGTTGGTGATGCTCGGACTGTTGTAGTATTCATCCCATTCAGTCCCTGCTAACCTTAATAGGTTTTATATGAGGCGGTGTTTGAATAACCATTACTTTGTTTTGTTGAAGAAGTGTTAGGTTATGATCCAGTATGATGCCAAAATATCGTAGTACCTAATTTTGAGTTCCCCTGTTGACGAAGCAATTCTTAACTGGAAGATCAGATCTGAGAGTTTTTGGTTTGCTGAGGATAAGGTGACATTATGGAAAGTATTAAGTGCAACATCAACTTATGTTAACATTAACTTATGTTAACACCATTCAGTAGTGGTTTCTCACTACACTGTCCATTACAGAACTCAAGAAGGAAAGGTCTGTCAAGTAATGGAAAATCTCAACAAACACTGCAAACTGGTAGACCTTTCTTTTCACTCCGATATACTCTTAATTTCAGAGTCCTTTAGGAGGTAATTTTTACACACCAGAACCAAACTAAAGGCAAGCCACTACTATAGCGCTGCTGCAGACCACAAACTGTCTCATTCAAAGAAGGCTGAGATGGTTTTACTCAGCTAAAATCAGTGTTTTGCACCCTGCTGTTAGTTTGAACTCTAAATGTCAAATCGATCATTCTTGACAACATTTTCAACAAATTATTCAACTGTAGCTGCTTAAAAATATTTTGTATAGCACCGCATCTTCAAGAGTAGAATTTGTCGGTCAAAATGTCAAAATTTAAGAAACATACATTAATATCTGGGCGCTGATCTGCTGCTGCCAACTGCCTCCACTTGACAGCTACTAATATTGCATCTATTTCCTGCATTTTGACTCAAATAATTCAATCTGTGTATATTTGATTACTGCTATTTGAATATGTTAAGTGTCTCTGAGGAAATTACTGTATGTATACACAATTTAGATTAAGAATAAAACTACTGAACTTGTTGATTTCATTGCTGATAATAAACTTGATATTGTTGCACTTATTGAAACATGGTTAAAACCCAAAGATACCGTCAGTATGGGTGATATGACACCCTCTTGGTTTAACCCGGCGCACGTTCCACGCCCTACACCAAAACGGGGTGGTGGTGTTGCTATTCTGTATAAGAAAGGTTTTACTGTAAATTTTCGTTTGAGTTTCTGACTACTGTCTTTAATTCTACCAATTTTCCCATCATGCTGATAACATTGTATAGGCCCCAACAAAAATCTACAGGTTGTACGGTTGACCATTTTCTGAATGACTTTTCAACGATGATTGATTTTACGTTCCTTAACCAAATGCCACTCATTATCACTGGTGATTTTAATATCAATGTAGATGATCCGACAGACACAGATGCATGCAACTTTCGTAGCCGTTTAAAGAGCTACGATCTTGAACAACATGTTAACACCGCAACACATAAACAAGGCCATACATTAGACTTGTTCATTAAAAGATCTGTAGATCCAGTCACTGATGGCATTTCTGATCATCTGGCAATCTGCAGTAAGCTGGAACTTATTCGCCCCAAAAATCCTACAGTCATAGTAAAGTCACGCAATATCCCTCTCATACAGGACTCAGATTTCGCTGAAATTTTTCAGATATTGCTGAAATTAACATCATTAATGATAACTGGTTACAGCTGTTTGTCTTCACATGTGGAAAAATATGATCGTATTCTTTCTCAAGCTCTTGACAAACATGCTCCCATAAAACAACGCACTAATAAAGTCCACATACACTCACCATGGTTTAACAGTCACATCAGAGAAGCCAGAAAAACCCGACGTGTCCTTGAGAAAAGATGGCGATGCTCGCTACCTGAAATCGATCGACAATTGTATTGTCAGCAAAAACAGCTCGTAATCAGCATAATAAATAAAGCAAAAACAAGCTATTATATAAAACTTTGGACCGACAACGCCAAGAATCAAAAAAATTATTTTAGGATTACAAATAGGCTTCTTCATAAATGTAATTCCTCGCCTCTTCCGAAACATCTCTCTAACAAACAATTGTCTGAATCGTTCAGTGCTTATTTTCATAATAAAGTCAAGGCAATCCGTGAAGGAATTAGTCCTGTCGGTGATCCACATATGCCTACCATGAACAAATCTAAAGCTGACTCTGCTTCTCTCGAGGTTTTGGATGTGACCTCGGATGAAACTATTATTGCATCAAATACATCCTGAAACCTTGATCCAATTCCTCTTCAATTGCTCAAAAAGTACCAAAAGCTAATTATACCTGCAATGAAAACAATAATCAATGAATCTTTAACAACCGGTGAGGTACCTTCTAAACTGAAAGTAGCACAGATTCGTCCAACTTTAAAAAGAAACAATCTTGATCAAAATGATGTTTCAAACTTTAGCCCCAACTCGAACTTAAGCTTTCTCTCAAAAACTCTTGAGAGGGTTGTTGCCAAAAGACTTTGCTCATTCTTAACCGAGATTGATTTGCTTGATAATTTTCAATCCGCATGCCGCCACGATTATAGCGAAGAAACTGCTATAAACAAAGTTCTCAATGAACTTTTGTGAAGTATGAATCAAGGTAGAGTCTCTATTATTAGTACTGTTAGATCTATCTGCGGCCTTTGAAACCGTCGAACACACCATTCTAATAACTAGACTTCAAAAAGTATTCAGTTTTAATGGTACTTTAAATACAGTAGTTACCATATTATATATACAGTAGTTAGGAAGAAATAATGGATACATCTTATTTTTGGAGATTTCAAGGCAGCAGCAGGCATATTAAGAAACAAATTTATTTTATCTAAAATTTCAATTTGTTATGGCGGAAGGTGTGCTAATTGCCCAAAATAACATCAATTCCAAATCATCAATATAT